AAGAAGAAGAAGAAGAAGAAGAAGAAGAAGAAGAAGTTGTTTATTGTCATTGTACAAGTACAACGAAACTATAGATGCACCCCAGCAACTGTATGCAATACAATAAAACCAGAGCACTTAAAATGGAGATAAGAAAAATAGAGTACCCACGTCTTCATTTGCAATTAGAGAGTACAATATCTACGAATATACACAAAATATACATTCAACACTAACTGTGACACTTTGCTGAGTATAATACACAAGAGATGGATTGTACTGTAATATGTTATTATACATCTGAACGAGGTATTGAGATTTCACATCTTAATAAGGTAAATTTGTGTTTATTTGCAGTTCGGATGGCCCAGGGAAAGAAACTGTTTCTTAGTCTAGTGGTGTGGGATTTTATTGACCTAAAACACTGTCCAGACGTCAGCAGGTCAAAAAGATAATTGCCAGGGTATGAGGGGTCTTCTATGACGGCCTTGATTCTGCTTTGGCAGCAGGACCTGGCTAAGTCTTCCAGGGAGGGCAGAGGGCAACCAATGATCTTTTGACACTTTTCCTGTCCTCAGCTATGGAGTCTGCATACCACACACCCAGACAGTATGTCAGAGTGCTCTCCACAGAGGCTTTATAGAAAGCCAGCAACTTATCCAGATTGTTTTTCCTGAGAACCCACAGAAAGTGCAGCTGCTGCTGAGCCTTCTTCACTATGGCCTTGATGTTAGGGGACCGGGAGATATCAGCTGAAATATGGATGCCAAGGAATCTGATTGTAGGAACAGTTTCCACTCATTCTCCATTGATGATGAGTGGGGCGTGGTCCTGTCCATGTTTCCTGAAGTCCATAATCAGTTCTTTGGTTTTATGGACATTCAGTGACAGATTGTTCTGTGAACACCAAACAGACAGGTTCTCTACTTCTGCCCTATATGCCGTTTCATCCTCTCTGGAGATGAGACCAATCATGGTCATGTCATCTGCAAACTTTATGATGGTGTTTGTTGCATGGCTTGGTGAGCAGTCAAAGGTGTACAAGGCATATAGCAGGGGGCTCAAGACACAACCCTGGGGGGAACCAGTACTGAGTATAATAGTGGAAGAAAGGTGGGGGCCAAGTCTAACAGACTGTGGTCTGTCTGTCAAAAAATTTTTAATCCAGGAACACATGGGGGTGGTTACTAGTATATCTGGGATGATAGTGTTAAACGCAGAACTGTAGTCCACAAAGAGCATCCTCACATAGCTCTGTTTGTTCTCCAGATGACTCAGTGCTCTATGAAGTATGGTGGCCACAGCATCCTCTATAGATTGGTTTGCTCTATAAGCAAACTGATGTTGATCAAAGGAGGGCGGGAGGCAGTCTCTGATGTGCTGTGAAACTAGTCGCTCAAAAACCTTCACAATGGAGTTTGTTAACGCTATTGTCATTGAGAGTGTTTATATTTGTTTTTTGGAGAATGGGGATGATGGTTGCAGCCTTCAGACATTTGAGATGATGCCATGTGTTAAAGATAGATTGAACAGCTCTGTAAGTATTTCTGCCAACTCTGTAAGTATTTCAGCCAACAGCACACACTTTAACTACTGAACCAGTAATGCCATCAGGCCCTTCAGCTTTCCTGGGATAAATGCGCTCAGTGTTTTTCTCACCTCATGTACCTGAAGAGAGAGAGGTGCAGCATTGTGGTCCTCGCGAGGCAGCATGTCCAGGTCCTTGGTGGTCTCAAAGTGTGCGAAAAAGCTGTTTCGCTCCTCTGCCAGAATGCTACTGCTCTCACTGTTCGTTGGGCCTGGCCTTTATAGTTGGTCAGGGCCTGTATTCCCCTCCAAATCTGCCGTGGGTCACTGTCAGTAAAGTGGCCCTCGACCTTTCTCCTATACATCTCCTTAGCATGTTTGATGCCCCTTCTCAGCTCAGCTCTGGCAGTGCTGTACTGTGAGATGTCACCTGTTCTAAAAGCCAGGTCACAGGCCCTGATCAGAGTCTGGACTTCCTGGTCATCCAGGGTTTCCTGTTTGGGAAGGTCCGTGTATGTTTATCCACAGTGACATTTTCTACACAGGTTTTCATGTAGAAAAGCACAGTCTCTGTGTATAACTCAAAGTCCTGTTGTTTAAAGATGGTCCAATCTGTGCAGGCAAAACAATCCTGAAGCTGGGAGAGGGCGTTTTCAGGCAAGCATCTAATAGTTTGACTGCTAGATTTTGTTCTCTTCCTAAAGGGAGTGTAGGCTGGTAGTAAAAGCAGGGTGAAGTGGTCTGATTGTCCTAAGTGGGGAAGAGGTTTTGCTCTATAAGCATGCTTAATATTTGAGTACACATGATCAAGTGTGTTTTTCCCCCTAGTTGGACACTTAACATGTTGGTAAAGTTTTGGGAGCACAGTTTTTAAGCATGCTCTGTTGAAATACCCAGCAATGATGTGAACGCCTTCAGGATGAACTCTCTGTTGTGTGGTGACTGAGCGCCATGCTAACATTAGCATCTGGAGGTAAATATACAGCAGTGATGGTAACTACTGTTAGCTCCCGTGGCAGATAAAATGGTCTACACTGAACAGTCATGGCCTCTAAATCTGGTGAGCAATGGCTGTTTGTTATTTTGCTGTTTGTGCACCAGTCTTTATGTACATAAATAATTAGGCCCCCTTCCCCTTCTCTTACTGGAGGCTATATTGCGATCTTGATGGTGCAAGGTCTGATCTACTAGCTCCATTGTAGCATCAGGGATTTGTGGGTGCAGCCAGGATTCTGTGACGATTAGCAGACAGCACTCATGAATTGTGCGATCGTGCGAGATCTGCAGCTGTAGTTCATCCAATTTGTTTACAAGGGACCTGGTGTTTGTGAGGAACATAGATGGTAATGGGGGGTTCTGCGGTCTCTTCCTCAATTGAGTTAGCAGACCCACTCTGCATCCCCACTTCTGTTTTCTCTCCCTACGCCGTCTTCTACATTTGCTTAATCCGGCAACAATCCATGGAGCTCCCGGAGATCTTGCTAGCTCCAATGGGATATTGTGGGATTCTGTATAAGCATAGGTGACTTTAGTTTTGAGTTGCTGTCCTTTACTTATCAGGTCTTCTCAACAATATGTTAGTCCGTTGCAGGATGGAGTAAAATGCAGGAACAAAAAGAAGTAAAAACACAAAAAGAAGAACAGTCATCGGGAGCATTGAGCTGCTGTGACCATGCATCTAGTCTATCTTTTACACATAAGGATAGACAATATTAGAAATAAAAACACATATACCCCATATATATTCAATATTATATTTACCATAGCAATTTGGATTTTGAAAAATGAACGTGTACCTCATAACTGAAAGTGGAGATCTGAGAATTTCTCTTTGTCAGAGTGTCTGGTTATGCAGAGGGATGGCTCAGGGCCTTCTCTTCTTTAGCCTGAATATCCCAGTGGTCTTTGCACACAGAAAGGTGCTTGAACTTCACCTGCAAGAAAGACATGGAGGAAAATTACACTGTTTTTTTTCGCCCCAAAGATAAATGCATTACTAGGCTTAGAAAAAATACAGAAGAACTGGGAGGAGATGGCACATTATTTTTCATGGTTAATGTTTTTGCTGCACAAAGAAAAACCCACTTCCTTTATCCACAAAGGGGGCAACAAACTGAAGAGGGAGGAAGAGACTGATGTGTTCTCTCTGACTTTGGATTTAAGGTTTTGCTGTGGGAAAAGATGTCCTTATACATCACATTGTACCCTAGGATGTCCAGTAGAAAAAATTACAAATAAAAATTGTAATTATGTTAGTTGTTACATCAATACTTGTTGCTTGCTGCTTGTTTCCTTAGTTATAATTTCAGTCAAAATAATGAAAAATGAAACAATTAGTATTACAATATTATATTAGATTTGTTGCAAAAATTCACTTATTGCTATAACTAGGCCACCAGGGAAGCTGTACATTGAATTCGAGGAAAACAAACAGATATATTTAACTAGGAATTATTGGTGATTCCATCTAGACCTAGAATTGTTCTGGCTCAGCTACATCTTTGTGATATCCGAAGCAGAACATCTAAATTCAGTTTTGTTCCATAAGCATCAATCTTGTGAACTTTCAAGCTTCCTCTTTTAACTACCTATCCAAAATGGACAGTGATGTGTGTGTGTGTGTGTGTGTAGGTATAGATATATAAATAGTATGTGTGCATATAGCAATGTATGTATGCATATAGCATGTGTATATATGTGTTATGTATGTGTGTATGGGTAGATATTTATTTTGAGTGCAGGCAACAGAAATTCATTTTTAATGTGTGCCAGCGTGCCCATAATAAAAATGACAATAAAGGTTACCTTATCTATCTTGAAGGTTATTTTTATATATGAATCTTGGTCATCTATGTAAATGCATATATATGAATAAGCCATCATGTAGAGTATATATTTTACATGTTAAGCAATGAGACTCTCTTTTATAAATATTATTGTGCTATGTAATAATATAATTATTGTTACAAAAGTATTAAAGACTGGAATATGCATAAATTCAAAAAAAATGAATATTTATTAAGACAGTTGACATAGGCATGTCGGCTTGTACATCACCATCATGATTCTAGAGTATGGGCTAAAGAGTGATGTCATAAAGGTAACAGTAACAACTAAGATGACTTAGAGCTCTTCTAGCAGGAACTAGTAAACTAATATTCTCCCCTGCATCTGAAATTTCAAAACAGCAAGTCCCCTTCTGATGAAGCTAAAGGAGAGAAAACTACAAGATGAGGTATTTCATTCCAATCTCTTGTCATAGTTCTCCACTTTTGTGGGTGATTCTTGCACTTGGAATGAAATGGGTAGAAGAGGCCCTGAGTTGTCCCCCAGAATGTTCGTGTGCCAAGTGGCAAGTAAACTGCAGAGGAAAAAAATTGAGGACGTTTCCAACCACAATTCCTCTGGCTTCCAAAAAACTAATTCTGGCACAGAACAATCTCCCCCGTTTACCCCTAGTAACCATGAGTTATCTCAATGAACTGGTCCACCTCGATTGCAGCCACAATATAATAACAATGGACTTGGAGTTCAGCTTTCCAGGGTTAGTCAAACTGACATCTTTGAATCTCAGCTACAACAAGCTCACCCACATAACATCCTTCACTTTTTCACAACTGAGTGAGCTGCTGCTCTTAAATCTCTCTGGCAATCCATTGATGGTGAAGATTATGGAGCAGGCCTTTGAAAAGAACAGTCATCTGAGATATATAGATGTGAATAATTGTGGCTTGTCTTACCTCAGTGCTGAAACATTTCAAAAACTGGACAGACTTCGTATTTTGAAAATAAAGGATAATCCCTGGAATTGTGACTGCAAATTCCTAGCATTCTCCGGGTGGCTAATACATACAGATATTAAATTCCCAGGTGAGATCAGACTTCATGTTGAATATCTCTTTTATTCCCGGAGTTCTTTAGGAATGTGGATTCTTCAGTTGGCAGTCAGATCCTCGGGCCTAATTATACTCCATTGAGTCCCTTTTTATTTCTGCCATAGACAACTTTCACAAATCCTCAGATTAGTCATCAACTGTAATGTGTACAGCACATTCTATTTGTATGGCCAGGCATTTCAATTACAAGACTCCAGGTTGCTAGCAATTTATTAAAAATGAGATAAAAAGCAAAACTACAAAACCATAAATGACATATATAGCAGCTGAAGGAAAACCAACAGCAAGAATAAACATTGTTAACTGAAATATTTCCCTACATTCACTATTAATTTGCCACAATCCTTCAGCTGGAGGGAAATAATTCAAAATAACTGCAGTCGGAATACCAATACCATCCCTGAACTCAGTTGAAATTTAGCATTGTGGGCCCACAGTGATATCTGATAATGCCTATACCATGTAAACATATTCATTTGGCTTACAATTCCTTGTTCCTAATTACTTGCAAACTCAATATGTATAAAGCAGCTTATGATTTTCATAAAGAGGGTTTGATTGCAATGCTGCTATATCAGTGTTTTACATAATTAACATGCTAGGAATATCCTGTTTAGCTGTATGTTTGTGGCTATTAGCAGCGTGTCTGAATTTGTATAATAAATCATACAGAGATATTAAAACTAGGGGTTCTTTTTTGTTTAGAATTGAAATAGACTCAGCAGATTGAAAAGGAGAAAGGGGTTTTTAAGACATGATCAGAAGTATAGATAGGCCTGAAATCCAACAGCCGCACAGAGCTTGTAATTATGATAGTGATTAAAAAGTAACTGCAATCAATCCTCACATTTATGACTCTTGCAGGCATATAAAGCAAAGGAACTCTGAAGGGAGATTATAAGCACAGTCACAGTTTCCCAACCACTTTGTTTAATGACTAGGTTGCTGATCCCAATTGTCCATGGCAGAATTAACAAATGCTGGCTAATAAAAGAAATGAAAGCCATGGAAAGCTTGAGACTTGCCAATGGAATTAGCAATTTATTACTGTTATATTGTAAGAAGGATGAAATCTAGTATATATTGGCAATCTCATCAGCGGTGTGTTGCAGCTGCCAAAAAAAGTCAATCTAGCTGTAGAGATACTAGCAACTGTTTAAAATTCACATTAGAATTGTTCTCATTTTATGTTTCCTTTTTGCAGATTTTGAGGATACCACTTGCACTAAACCAGAAAAAATGAAGGGTCTTTCTCTCCGCAAGGCAAAATTTGAGCTCCATTACCTGTGCCTTGTGCACTTACGTCCACAAGATTTCATATACATCTGTTTAGTAACCTTTTGTATTTTCTTGGGAGGAACTCTAGTGGCATGGCTGGTTGGGTTTTGCACAGTGATGTATTACCATCCTGTAATGAGACTATATGAGGAACCAGAGGATGAAGAATACAGAATGATTTAACTTATTGCTTTGGAGCTTTTCCAAGTGTCAACATCTAATGCAACATTTTAGACCCTTTGTTTCATTAAAAAATTCTTTAGTTGCAATTTTAACCCATTTCAAGGGAGGTATTTCATTTTATTTCATTAAAAATATAGCCTTGAGGTAGGGGTTAGAATGATTGAAAGAGAGGAATATATCAGAAAAAGAGAATTTCCAATGTGTTGGGGTATGGATGTGTCTTCCAAAAATGAAATATTCCTAAGAAAATGTAGAAGTAACAGAATAGAGGGCAAGCAAGAAAACATCCTCCTTTTTATGTGATTGGCTATAAAACGTTTGTCTCTGAACAGAGACTTTGGTAGGAATAAACGAAAACAATCACATAGACCTCACTCATGAAAATTGCACAAGGGAAAGGATCAGAGAGATTTTCAGTACTGGCACTAAGAGAAGTTGAAAACAATTACTTCCTCTCCTTTTGAAAAGCATTTTGAGTTTCAGCCTGCGTCCATTTCAACTGAAAAAAACAGTTACTGTAATGGAAGCAAACTAGATGACATAGCATACCACAAAATAAGCTGAAAACAATTACTTCCTCTCCCTTTTTAAACCATTTTAAGTTTCAGCCTGAGTCCATTTCAACTGAAAAAAACAGTTACTGTAATGGAAGCAAACTAGTTGACATAGCATACCACAAAATAAATGCTACAAGATTCTCAGAGTATAAAAAGTTCTAATACTGTTGTGGATCGAGGGAAAGGAGAGGCTTAGACCAGAGCATACAAGGAACAGACTTTATTCAAAGAACAAAGGGTTGTCGCGTCTGCCAGCTAACAGGCAGACTTGCCAGCGAACAACGACCTGGCTCAGCCTGACAGCCGGCTTTTATAGCCGACTGTCAAACGGAGCCAACCAATGGGAGCTGCTTGGTGCTCCTGCTTAAAGAACGGACCTGGTTGGGAACCCCAACCAGTCCTAAAGACATAACACCCCTTCCCCCTAGATGGGAACATGCATAGTCCCTGAGATACGCCGGTGGTCTGTGTTGGCGACCGGAGCGTCGTAGCTCAGGGGAGCCGCTGGGTGGCCACAAGTTCACGGAGCCCTGGTTGGAGGACGCTGGGGAGCAAGCTTGACTCGGCGCGGGATCTTGGACCCGGGGAAAGTCCCTGCCTTCGGGCTGGCTTGGAGAACAGTCTCTGCCCGACTGGCCGGTGACCACGCTGAGTGGTAGTGGTGGAGTCTCTGGCTGGCAGTCCCGGTCTACTGCCGGCTCCCTCTGCTCTGTGGGGAATGGCTGGTCCCTTTGGAAACTCTCGACTGGACTCTGGTGGGGAACTTGAAAACTGTCCTGTGGAACCGGCTCTGAGCTGGTCAGACCGCTCCGTCGCCTCCTCAGTTGGTCCAGGTGCCTCCGCCACGTGCGACCATCTTCGAGCTGGACCCGATAGGATCTCGGACCTGTGACAGCCACGACCTTCCCCGGCACCCACAGCGGATCCCCCGCGTAGTTCCTAGCGAAGACTAGGTCCTATAATGCGAAATCTCTGACCAGACTGTCAGACCCCAAAGGGGTGTCTGGGCAGTAGTGGGGGTGTAGCCTGTCTAAAGTAGTCCTCAGGCGTCTCCCCATTAACAGTTCGGCCGGGGACTTGTTCGTAGTTGTGCAAGGTGTAGTATGCTGGCTTAGGAGGAAACGGGACAGTTTAGAATGCCAGTCTTCTTGGCCGAACCTGGCCAGTGCCTCCTTAGCCGATCTGACTGCCCTCTCTGCCAACCCGTTGCTAGCAGGGTGAAAGGGGGCCGTGAGGACGTGTCTGATGCCCAGATTGGTGACATACCTGCTAAATTCACTCGAAGTGAACTGGGGGCCATTGTCGGAGACCAGTGTGCCAGGAAGTCCATGAGTCACGAAAAAACGAGTCAGGGCTTTAGCGACTGCCTGGGTGGTGGTCGTGGGAAGTAAGGCCACATCTATCCACTTAGAATATGAGTCCACGACCACCAAGAAAGTCTTGCCATGCATTGGCCCGGCCAGGTCGATGTGAAGCCGTGACCACGGGGCATTGGCACTTTCCCACTTGGTGGGTGTGGCAGCTGGCGGGGCTGCCCTAGATTCCTGACAGGGTCGACATGAGCTTACCCACTTGGCGATCTGATCATCCATCCCGGGCCACCAGACGTAACTGCGAGCCAACGCCTTCATCCGTACGATGCCCGGATGGCCCTCGTGCAGCACCTTCAGGATGGGTATGCGAAGGGTGGTTGGGATGACGACTCTGGTGCCCCACAACAGGCATCCCTGCAACTTAGAAAGCTCCTGCTGGCGAGTTTTAAATGGGGTGAAATCAACTGAATAGTTAGTTTCCGGCCACCCCCTCCCTACCCAGTCCAGAACCTGGGCGATTGTTTTGTCCTTTTTTGAATGTGCCGCGATGTCGTCCGCAGTCACTGGCAGCTTGAGTTCGTTGACCTCGAAAATAGCATGCACAGGGGCTGGGTCCTCGACTGGGGCCGGCAAGGGACAGCGGCTGAGGGCATCTGCTTGGCTCAGATTCTTTCCGGGACGATAGACCAGTTTGTACGAGTAAGCCGCCAGGAACAAGGTCCATCTAGTCATCCTGGGCGACAATACCTGTGGGGTTTGCTTGTCCCCTGATAACAGTCCTAGAAGCGGCTTGTGATCGGTAATGAGTTCGAAATGGTGCCCGAATAGAAATTCGTGGAATTTTTTTGACTGCTGCTACTGCAGCCAGGGCCTCCTTATCAATTTGGCTGTAATTACGTTCAGTCGCTGAGAAAGTTCTTGAAAAGAAGGCAATTGGTGCCTCGGAGCCGTTGGGGAGTCTGTGACTTAAGACAGCTCCTATCCCAAAAGGGGATGCGTCTGCGGCTAGGACCAAGGGGAGGCGTTGGTCAAATTGGATTAAGACAGCCTCAGAGGTGAGTAGAGATTTGACTGCCTTAAATGCATGGTTTTCTTTGGGTCCCCAGTGCCATGGTATGTTTTTATCTAAGAGTCTGTGCAGCAGTTCAGCGACTGAGGCTTTGTGTGGGAGGAATGAAGCGTAGAAATTCAATAACCCCAGGAAGGCTTGTAACTCGGTTTTGCTGGTAGGCGTGGGTGCCTCGTGGATGGCCTTGACTTTAGATTCCACCGGGTGGATGCCTGAGGCGTCTAGCCTGTATCCTAGAAAGTCCACCTGTCTAGTGGCGATGGCACACTTCTCCCGTTTTAGTTTGAGGCCATGCTGCCTGAACTTCTCTAATACTGCCCTGACTCTCTGGATGAGTTGGGGTCTGTCCCTGGCTGAGACCAAAATGTCATCGAAATATGGCACTACGCCAGGGAGGCCTTGGAGGATTCGTTCCATCAGTGATTGAAAAATACCTGGGGCTACACTTACGCCAAACTGGAGACGTTTACATCTGAACGCCCCTCTGTGTGTTACTATGGTCTGTAAGTCAGCCGTTTGATTATCAACAGGGAACTGTTGGTATGCCTGTGACATGTCCAGTTTGGCGAAAATGGTGCCAGGTTCGAATGTGTGTAACAGGTGCTGAATGACTGGAACAGGATATGCGCTAACCTGTAGATAACGGTTAATTGATGTCTTGTAATCAGCACAAATTCTTAAATTACCGTCTTTTTTAAGTGGGGTGACTATAGGGGTCTCCCACTTAGCGAAATCAGTGGGTTCTATCACCCCTTGTTTGAGGAGCTTGTCTAGTTCCGCGTCCAATTTGGGGCGGATGGCGAAAGGTACTCTACGTGGTTTTAAGCGGACGGGAACTGCCTGGGGGTCTACTGAGAAGGAGATGGGAGTGCCATTATAACAGCCTAACTCGCTACTAAAAACGTCAGAGTAGTCTGAGAATAAGGAGTCAACATCCGAAGTTGAGACAGCATGGATCCCTGTTACACTAAGGCCAAGATAGGGAAACCAATCCAATCCCAAAAGACTAGGGAGGGCACCATTAACAACCACTAAAGGCAAATGGCCTTTGAAGGCTTGGAATTTAACAAGGAACTTGCCTTTCCCGAGGACCGGGATGTTCTTTCCTTGGTAGTCCCTCAAGGTGAGATGGCACTTTTGAAGCTGGTTCCTTGTCAGTCTGGGCTGGATCTTCTTAAGCGTGTCCCAGGAGATGATTGAGAGCGCTGACCCCATGTCTACCTCCATGCGGCAGTGTTTACCTTCTAAGAAGACAGAAAGTGTAATTTTATTGGGGGTATAAAATGTGTGGTTAGCATGGTAGCAAGTGTAGCAGTTCTCTACTTGCCTTAGGGAACCAGGAGAAGGAGGAGATTTTTGTGGAAAAACGCGCGCTGCCTGGCAGACTCTTGCGAGGTGACCTTTCTTGTGACAGTTGTGGCAGCTGGCGTTTCTGAACCTGCAAGATGCCCGGGAATGGGAACCTCCACAGGTTAGGCACAAAAGAGTTTGTTTTGGGCCACTGTTGTTTCTTTGCCTCGCTCCTACCTGCGGCTGTCTCATTGGCTTGAGACGATGAATGTCAGAGAATTCTGCAGGGTCATCTTCGCCCACCACTTCTTCAGAGTGGACGGAGGAAGTGCTGGGCTTGGGTGCGGTGCCCTGGATCTCAGCTGCTGATTGGGCTGAGAGTTCAGCAGCTAAGGCTTCCTCAACGGCCTGGGGAAGATTTAAATCTTTTCTGGCCAGCAAACGTCTTTGGAGCCTTAGATCTCTTACCCCACAGACGAGTTGATCGAGCAGCATATCGTCCAAATAGTTCTTGAACTCACAGTGTAGAGCTGCTGTCCTCAGGGCGGCCATGTATTGGTTGATGGATTCCCCCTCGGCTTGCTTCCTCATTCTAAATGAGAAACGTCTAGCGATCTGGGACGGTTTCGGTGAGTAGTGGTTGGAAAGTGTTTCCAGCAGCTCAGTCCATGGGACGTTCCTGATCTCTCGTGGTGCTACAAGTGCTATGGCGGTGTCGTAGACTGCAGCCCCACAGTAGCTGAGGAAGTAGGATTTCTTCCTATGCTCCGC